GCATCCCGAGGCGACATGACCCCGGAGGCCGCAATTGTAGCAGCGCGGGAGCGCTGCCGATGACGTTGGCTGGTCGAGGCGGCTCGGTCCGTCCCGAACCGGCCGTACTCCCGCTCTCCACTCCAGCTGACGGTCGACGGCGCAAATTTCCTCCGCCGGGAGGGTGGCTGCAGCCACGGCACGGCCGGTCGCCGCCTTGCTGGCCTTTCGTCGCTGCGAGAGTAAGTTGGCGTGGAGGTGTCGTGCGGCCCGGAGGGAAGACATCTCAGCGTCGTCCTGCGCCACGACGACGATGTCCAATTCGTCAGCCAGCAAGAGGATCTTCTCCGTCACCATGGCGTCCACTCCTTCGTCATCCATTCGCGGGAAAGCCGTTCTTGCCAGTGCCAAGAGAGCCGTGCGATACGCCAGGGGCGACTCCTTGGCACCCCGCTGACGATCGTAGAATAGCTGTCTGCAGTCAGACGGTGGTCCGTAGACTGCAGCCAGCAGCTGAAGCGCCATCTGCAGCGTGGCACGCTTGGCTTTCGGCGCCGAGGTGAGAGTGGCGAGGGCATCGCTGTCGAGCAGCGCCGGCAGCGCGCGGAGAGCCTCGGCATCGGTCCACTGCGCCATCTCCTGGTGTGCGAGGAAGCGCCGCTGAAAGCTGCCCCAGTCACCATCCTCGCCCACAAACTCCTTGAGGGGAGGTAGACGTTGGTGCAACGCAGCGGCCGCAGTGGAAGGTCGCTCCCCGTCGCTCCCGTCACTCGGCTCGGCTTCGGCGCGAACGACGAGTGGCATCGCCGGTCGCACCACTGGTGACGCGCTGGCCGCTGTTGATGACGTTGCAGCCACTGTACGCCCGACGTCGGACGCGAGGCTCAGCCCGGCCACGCCCTCAGCAGCTGCTGCGGCGATTGCGGGAGATTCAAAATCCGGCTCCGTCGAAATGGCGGGAACCCGTGCTGCTCGTCGGCTGTCGTCGCTCTGTGGCGGTCCACCAGCCCCCAGCCGCGTAATTTGGTCAAGCGTGGCGGCAGCAGCGTAAAGCAGCTCCGCCAGTCTCGCGTGAGCCTGCCGCAGTCCATCTGCTGACGGCTCCCCTCCATCCAGACGCTGCGGTGTGGATGGATCCGGCCCCGGCTGCTCGGCGTCGCCTTCAGCCATCTCGGGCTCAACTTCTGCAGCGGTGTCCTCCGCCCCCGGTACCCTGGCACGAGCTGTCCGTCGCGTGTCCATGTTCGTGGTCGATCACTTCTGACGCCAGATGTAATAGTGTTCCAGGAGACTTGGACGCCGGGGTTGGAGGCACACGTATTTATTCCGTGTCGGTACAGCACAACACTGACATACAACACTGGAGGGGGTATCGGCCCCCTCACCCGTCTAACTAGGAATACACTCTCTAGCTACGCCTAGCCTACCTCTGGGTCCTCCACTAACGGGCTAGGGGAGGCTAGCTAGCCCGACACTGGTAAGTCGGGCTCACGGTACCCGGAGTCCCAGACCAGCTCTTACAAGAGCACCGGCTCTGGCTCTCGGGACCACGCCGCTGGCTCGATCCTGTTTGGCCCTGATAAGGGCGGCGATCCAGGGGAGTCCAGGGCTCTATCTACGACGATCTTCAGCCTTCACTGGTTAGCTTCAACATCTCTCCCTGAGCCCTCCGGCTCATCCCCTTTTATACCAAAACCCCCGCTGAGGGGTGGGGCCCCGGGGGATCCCAGCTCCGAGTCAGCCCCCCAGGCTGCCCGATGCGGACGTCGCTGGGAGCACCTTCCCGTGCACCGACATAGCCACGCCCACTGTGTTTCTTTCCCATCTGATCCCATTCTATAACAGCCCCTCCATAACACCCCTACACATGTACCCACAGCAGCCATTGCAGCTGCATGAGCCACAGTCCTAAACCTCGCCCATTTCCCCTCGACATCAGGAGGAGTGGGGAACGATGCCAACCCCAGCTGTAAGCGATGATTAAATTCTCACTTGCAACTTTCATCAGCTTGCTGAGACCATGCCACTAAGGGTTTGAATTGGGTCCTGGGTGTACACCCACCACTGGAGTGGAAGAATGGCAGGCGCATCTTACAGATGACAAGTCGATGGTCAGTGGGCAGATCAGCTCCATGGTAGGTCCTGATGTCAAGGACATGGGCCCGCATCCGCTGTTCCGTCACTATGTAGTCCAGCAGATGTTCTTGCTTGGACCCGGCATGCATCAATGATGTTGTGTGGATGCGCCGATGCCGTAACAGCGTGTTGGTAATTACAAGCCCATGGGCTGCTCAAAAATCTAGAAGCCTCCTGCCCTTGTTATTGAACTGATCTGGCCCATGCCTTCCAATCACTCCAGACCAGGTGCCAGCATCATGACCAACGGGAATTGAAGTCACCCAACAAGATGACTCTATCCCGAGGGGCCACTTTAGCCAGCACCTGTGACAGGTCATAGAAGGCATCTGACTCATTGGCTTTGCCTGCATCCCTCCACAGATGTTCGTCTTCAGTGGGGGCATAAGTGACCACGACCAGCACTCCTTGCCTCTGTTTGATGGGTAGGCGAGTCCAAAGTAACCTGGGGCTTACAGCTTCCCACACCTCACCGCCATGCTCCCATACTCCCTTCATTATTTTGTTCAGAAGAAGCGCCACTCTCTGTTGTTTGGCAGTCTCCTTCCCCAAGAAGAGGACTGTCCACCCCTCATGGTGGCAGGAGCCAGAGCCAGTCCACCGGACCTCCTGAATACCAGAGATCCAGACGGTACCGGTCCAGCTCCCGACGGAGTGGCAGCCTCTCCTCCGCAGTGAGCGTTCGAACATTCCACGTGGCCACACGTAGTGGTTTTTTGTTGTTTCTGGAGGAGCCCCGAGGGTATGGATTCACTCTCCTTGCTACCCCAAATGGAGTTTGGCCAGGAGACGTCATAGATGCCTGTTCCCCTGGGACCTCCGGCACAAGCTTATTAATAAAACATTTCCGTCGTAGTGTAGCGGTAATTGATTAAAGGTGGAGGGGTTACCAGTCCCTCGCATCTGTCCAAAGCCTCCTTTTGGCCGCTGTGGTGGTCACAAACGCCATGAGGAGAAAGGCCAATCGGAGTTAGACCTCCCCCCACAGCACTGCCCACGACAGCGTTGCCGTCCGGGACCACGAGGAGGTAGGCGGTTGTTTTGCTGGACTACACTACTCACACATTCATACACTCACCCATAGGAGTGTACGTGTGTCTTGTATCACCGGCGCCACCAATTAATATCTAATTTCACTCATACAGTATGTGACACATTTACTCTGCCTCCTAGTCACAGATACACCCATGTCACTTACAATACGCTGAGGAGGTGCGATGCTTAATGATCGCATACCCACAACAATGTTACATTACAATTACTACAAATATTCAACTCAACATTCGTGTACAGCACTGAACTTTAACACAAGGCCAAGGTGACGGATGGTGTCAGTGACGTATGTGTGGGTTGAGGAAATGCAAATCAAGTAGTGGTATTACGAAAGGGACAACACCTTTTTTATTGCCAGAAAGATTAAAACCTATTATGTTTTCATCATATTGCACTGGCAAAATGGTCCCAAAGATATAACTGCTTGATCTGAGTTAAAAGTGTTCTGATACTTGTGTTGTGGGTATAAACTTCGCGGAGACATCATCTAGAGGAAACTCGTTTATTTCAATCAAACATCTAACAGTAGCAGTAACACTAAGGGGTACGGCCCCTTCACTCGATAACCTAAGGGAAGTACAGCCTCCCTTCTAGTGGGGCCCTACAGACTCGGGGCTACGCTCTCACGGATCCTCCACTATGGGACCTAGGGGAGGCTAGGCTGACCCGACCTCGCCAGGGTGTACGGGTCTCACCGCTGGTCTGCTACAACTTAGCTCTTAAAAGAGCCTCGGTTGAGGGTCCCAGGGTCTAGTCTTCAGACGTCTTCAGGTCTTGAGTGGACGAACACTGCCAGTCCCGTTGAGAGGACCGGCTTTTATACGCAAGTTGGGGCTTACTCCGCCCCCAGCCACTCGTCCCCTCTCGAACCTTCCAGAGGGTTCTGGAAGGGTCAGGAATGAACGTTAGACCCCATCCCCCACCCCTTGGGGGTCTGGGGTCTCCACCTCCGGTCACGAGATACCCAAAGTACCCAGGGGGAGTTAACTTAGGTTAACCGTCATTCATCCCGTTCACCCTTCCAGCTGCCCCCTATCGGCCTGTGAGCGTGGTGGCAAGTAAGGTGACATACAACGCCCTGGTAACGGCGCAACACTTGCATTGTCTTTGTAGTGTTAGACTTTTGGCGTTCTCTGGTCTAAAACAGTGGGTGGTGAGACAAGGCCATAAATAAGTCTGTCGGATGTCGGACAATCAGATTCAAAGGCAATGCGTACATTATTATTATCAGAGCATGTTTGTTTGCATATTTTGCTATGTGTGGTTAATGCAGACTTGATGCCTTACAAAATGTATCTATTTGGTGTTGGAACATCTTAACACAACTTTTGTTTTATTGCCAGAAATGGTAAAACATATTCTTATTTTTTTCACCAAAGTGACAACATATTTGCGAAACAACATAAAAGGGGGAAACATAAAATCGAGGTATTACTGTATGTACATTTTTGCAGATTTTCAACATCAAATGTAAGCTTGCTCACTGGGAGGGTGAGGGAGGGGCAGTGTTAGCGTCTGCCACACCCCCTGTGGGCCATTCAACGTAGTAAGGAATCAAACGTAATAACGAATCAAAAGAGACGAGGAGACTGGGAGGTTAGGCGATTATGTACAGTATGTACAGTCCACCGCATCATTTTAATAACGCCATCTGCATGTACCCCAGGAATTTTCTTTTTTTATTCTTCCGCGTGAAAAAAAATATGATTTACAATAAAAAAACATAATCAAACAGGATGTAAATCGAACGTAATTGTTTAGATAATGGCGGACGTAATAACAACACATCAACGAAGAGTATAACAGGTATACTTCAATGTCGTGTTACTCACCGATTATTACTCCGAAGATAATGACTGCGCGGATTCTTTTGCGCAATTTCATCTGTCAACGGAGCAACGTAAAAGGGGACGTTAGCTATTCCACAATGCAGCTGAAAGGGACTGTGCGTGAGTCATCCCGGCAAAGGGAACCCCCATTGTTCCGTTAAACCAGGGTCAGCAACCAAAATAACAAAAAGATACATTTTATTCGAATTCGGTAATAAAATAAAACCGAAATATTTGAAGAGCCGCAATGACACGTGGAGCATACGAAATGGTGAGTCCATAATAAAAAATGTGACGAAGCAGCAATCCTTAATGGGCTGAGATGGTGAGTCCAGGTTGCCGAACTGTGCTCATCATAAACTGGACTTCCATTGTAAACTGGACTTCCATGGTCAGCTGTCAGCAATCAACATAACAAGAATAACATTTTTTTTTCATTTCAATAGCCGTACTGCAGTCCTTAAAGAGCCGCAGGTTGCTGTCCCGTGAGTTAAAGTACAACTTTAACATTTTTTTTACTTTATCAGGAAACGCCCACTGAGCTAATTAGCTCTTTTTCAAAAACGACCCGGCCATCACAAATAATAGATCAACGAAGTGGCTTATTATCATCACGTATAAATTTATAGCAGCAGCCAAATACTCTAAACGTGTGACGTTGATTAAAAAATGTGGAGAAAATGCACGCGACCACACGGAGAGAGAAGGAACATGCAAACTTCAAATATACAGCAGGCATAGTCAGGGTCGAACCCACGACCTGCATATCAGGCGAGGGAGTTAAGATCTCCTAGCCACCGTGGCGCCAAGACTCCTAAGAGAACACCTGTTAAACACCGACACAGAGACCTGCAGGGCACCATCTGAGTAATTCATTTGAGCCTTCATATCCCCTCTCTCCTCCCCCACTTTATTTTACCAGTGTATATCATCTTGGGGTCCCCCCAGCCCCAATCCCATTTTCCCATCTTCCTTGGCCAGCTCCCCGATTTAATTGTTTAATTATTTCTCTGGGGATGATCCCATGTCCCCTGTGTGACCTCGACACGATGGTAACAGTCTCCATCTTGTTCTTCTTCCGTATGACTGATGTAGATGCTGAGACAACGACAACAATGTAACATTCAGGGAGGCAAGCTCAGATAACCGCATCAGGAGTAAGCGGAGTGTATTTCTGTGATGCCATAGTAATTAACACTGAGGCCTATTTAAGCCTCAGTGATTGACACTGAATGCTATGGGAGCCCAAATGATGTACACTGAACTCTATGGGAGTCTCAGTGATTAACATTTAACCCTATTGGAGCCCTAGCTATAAATACGGAACACTATGAGAGCCCCAGTGGTTAACACTGAACTCTATAGGAGCCTCAGTGATTTACACTGAAGCCTATGGGCGTCTCAGTGATTAACACTGAACGCTATGGAAGCCCCAGTGTTCGTTCATTTCTAAATCTGCTTGTCCTGGTGAGGGTCGCAGCGGCAGCATGTTGAGTAAAGTGGTCCATACCTCCTTTTCCCTGGCGACGGACTCCAGCTCTTCCTGGGAACTTCGCAGGCGTTCCCAGGCCAGTCGAGGGACATAGTCTCACCAGCGTGTCCTGGGCTGGCCACGGGGTCTTCGGTCAGTGGGACGTATCCGATAGAGTTCCAGGGGGAGTCTACAGGGGGGCATTATTACCAGGTGCCCGAACCACCTTAACTGGCTCTTCTTGATCCAGAGGAGCAACGGCTCGACTCTAAGGCTCTCCCAGATTGCAGAGCTTCTCACCTGACCATGTAGAGTGAGCCCTGCAACCCTGTGGCGAAACCTCATTTCGGCCTGTTGTACTCGCGGTCTCATCTTTCCAGTCATTACCCAAAGCTCATGGCCATAGCGTTGGGTGTGAACTTGTATCGAACTGAGCTTTGTTCGAAAACTCATCTTCTGCTTCACTATCATGGAATGGTTCAGCACCTGCATCATTACAGATGCCACCCCGATCCGCCAGCGGATCTCCTACTTCCACTCGCCATCACTCGCAAAAGAAACCCCAAGGTACTTAAACTTCTCTACTAAGGGCAGCTGTTCCCCCCTCACCTGGAGAGCACACTCCACTGTCTCGGGGGAGTGAACCATGACATTGGATATGCAGGTGCTGATCCTCATCCCAGCCACTTCACACCGTTCAAGTGCATGCTGGAGATCACAGACTGACGAGGCAAAGAGGACAAAGTCATCTGAAAAAAGCAGCGATGCCACCTCCATGCCCCCATACTGAATACTCTCCATACTTCGGCTGTGCCTTGACATTTTGTCCATGAAAATCGCAACCAGGAGTGGGGACAAGGCGCACCCTTGACAGAGTCCTACACTCACAGTGAACAACTTAAATTTAACACCAAGAATACAGACACAGCTCTCACTCTGGGAATATAGGGAACGGATAGCATGAAAAAGCAGCATTGGTACATAATACTCACGCAGCACCTCCTACAAGACATTCTGGGAACACGGTCATATGCCTTTTTCAAGTATGTGTAGAGGTGTAATTGCGCATGGCTACGAATGTTGAGGTGTGATTATGCATGGCCACGGATGGCCAACAAACACAAGGGGCGGGGTTACGGCCGTACACAAGGGTGGCGCTAGCACCGACGTCCGCATGTGTATCCCCCACGGGCCCCCCCTCGGGGGCGAGTCCTATAAAAGGTGATGAGCTCGAGGGCTCGAGGTCGGGACTCAGCTTTAACCAGAGAAGACGGAAGACCAGCTAGTGTAGGCCCCAGAGCTCCCCTGGCTCGCTGTCCTTATAAGGGCCGACCAGGGCAAGCCGGTGGCGTGGCCCCGAGAGCCCAGACGAAGCTGGTCTGGTGACTCAGGGAGCCGGGATCCCAGCTTAACCAAGCTGGGACAGATAGCCTCCCCTAGTCCCGTAGTGGAGGAATTGATATAGGTTAGAGGGGTTAGCTGTCGAGAATCCCTGTAGCCAAGTGACCTGTACAACTGTGTTGGTGTAATAAATAAGTGTGCCTCCGATCCTGTCGTCAAGCCTCCATATATACTTACTACATCTGGTGTCAGAAGTAAACGTCCAACGATGGACACACGAGGGACGACACGTACCAGGGAGACGGAGATGGAAGACGCCGCGGCCGAATCTCCACCAGTGATGGCCGGGGTCGAATCGGAGCAGCCGGGGCCGAGTACGCCCGCGCCGCTACGACAGGAGGAGGGGGATGCGTCGGCCGAAGGACTCCGGCTGGCCCACTCCCGCCTGGCGGACCTGCTCTACGCCGCGGCCGCCGCGTTGGAGGAGATCACGCGGCTGGGGGCTGGAGGAGCAGCGCGGGTCGACGACGGCAGCCGGCGCGGGGCGACGTTTCCCGCCACCCCGACGCGGCTCGCGGTCAAATTTCCCGCCATCTCTACAGTACGAGCGGAGGGCGGGGCCGGCCCGCGTCACGTGTCTGCTGAGCGCCAAGCACAAGCCGTGACATCATCAACGCCGGCCGGCGCGTCAACATCAGAGCGACCGGCGATGCCATGTGCACGGCCCGCCCACACTGTATCATCGGCGGGGAGCGACGGAGAGCGTTCTGCGGCCACGGACGCCGCCTTACAACAGCGTCTGCCGCCTCTTAAAGAATTTGTCGGCGCTGACGGAGACTGGGGCGGCTTCAAGAGGCGGTTCATCGCTCATCAAGAGATGGCGAACTGGACGGACGCCGAGGCTCTACGCGCGCTGCCAGCGATGCTGGACAACGACGCCCTGGCTACCCTCACCTCGGCGCCGAGGGAAAAGCGCGCCACTCTACACCTGGCGTTGCAGCTGCTGTCAGCCGTCTATGGGCCGCCTTCGGACTGCAGGCAGCTGTTCCACGATCGGAGTCGGGGCGCCAACGAGTCACCCCTGGCCTTCCGGACGGCTCTCCTGGCTCTGGCAAAGGCTGCTTTCCCAAGGATGGACGAGGAAGGAGTGGATGCCATGGTAGCTGAGAAGCTGCTGCTACTCGCTGACGAGCTGGACGTCAACGTCTTGGCTCAGGACGACGCGGAGATGTCGTCCCTGCTGGTCGCGCGCCACATCCACGGGGGCTTGCGGTCCCTGCGTCGGAAGGCGGCAAAGGGGGCGGCCGGCCATGCCATGGCGACCACCGCCCTCCCATCGGAGGAGGTCTGCGGGGTGGAGCGGCGAGGGGAATGGAGATCGGCGGCACCGCAGGCTCGGAATGGACCGAGCCGCCAGGAGCAGCCCAGGTCATCTGGGGCGCTCACACGCTGCTACAACTGTGGCCTGCAAGGCCACGTTGCGTCTGGATGCCGGGCTCCCCGTCAGCGCGGGGCGACACCTCGTCAGGACGCCACGCCGTCTCCTCCCAAGCTCCAGCAGAGAAATACGGCGAGTCGCGGCACCTCACACGTTTGGCCCACGCACACATCCGACACACACTCACGCGCTCAACTAAACAGGGCTCCAAATTCCCCGTCCGTCGCGCGCGATTGTTCGGTTATGCGGCGAGCGCTCCAACCGGGTCAGTGGTCGGAGCTCGCCCATCGTGTCGTTGCTGCGTCGGCGGGATCATCGGTCGTGGTCGGTCACATTGATGGGGTAGAGGTGCGGATTTTAATTGACACAGGGGCATCGGCGACCATTATATCTGATTTAATTTATAACATCCTTCCCGTTCAAAGTCGTCCCTTGCTCCCTGTTGACGTGCCGTGCTATGCCGCTAACGGGGGCTCTCTGGGCATTATTGGCCAAATCCGCGCCACTATCTGCATTGGGGACATTAAATTATCCGGCCCTGTTTTGGTTTCCTCCTCACTCGCGGTTCCGTGCCTGTTGGGGACGGATTTTCTGGCCAAAATGCCCATCCGTATCCTTATTGACCAAGGGTGCATTGAGCTCCCATCGGGCCGACGCGTTACATTTCTGTCTTCCCCCACCACGGAGCGTCGGGCGTTTGCCACCGTGCAGGCGCTCGTCACAAAAACTGTGCGCGTGCCTCCGGGGGCTCAGATGCTCGTCCCTCTTAGGTTGCGTCGGCCGTTTGATGCAGGGGTTGCGGATCGGGGGGTCTTGTTGGGTCCATCTCGGGCCGGGGTCAATGGACCCGATTTGCTCGCGGCTCAGACTATGGTGAGAGGGGATGGGGACCCCTTCATTGCAGTCCTTAATGTGGGATCGCGAACGGCCGTGGTTCCTCAAGGGACCGTGCTTGCACACGCAACGCCGGTGCCCTATGAGGAACCACTCGTGGGTCAGGTATCCACCGATCCTCCGTCGCGACCGCATTCGGACTCTGATGACGGATGGCTGGATGCGCTTTGCGCGGGTTCAGTGGACCTGTCTGACTCGCAGCGCGCGCAGCTGCGAGTTCTCCTGAGCGAATTTGCTGACGTTTTTAGTCAACACAAATTTGATATTGGTTGTACAAAATTGCTGCGACACCATATTGACACGGGTGACAGCGCGCCAATCCGCCAAAATCCCTTTCGGTTGAGTCCCGCCGAAAAGGATCATGTCAAATCGGCTGTTGATGACATGCTAGCCGCCGATATCATTTCCCCTTCCACCAGCCCGTGGGGCGCGCCGATCGTTTTGGTGAAAAAACACGACGGCTCACTGAGATTTTGTGTTGACTTTCGGCGTCTCAACAAAATCTCTGTGGCAGATGCGTACCCGCTTCCTCGGATGGATGAGTCGCTCGACGCCTTGGCCGGTGCG